ACCTCACAATACAATCATTGGCCGCCTTACTAGACGGCCAAATGAGAACTCAGCGATTTTCGCGCCGGGTGGGTATTTTCAGACGCCATGTTGGGTTTGCGACATTTTTTTTTTGATCGGAGGGTATTTTAAACATAATATGCGGATTTTACGACCCAAAAAACATAGGAATCGATACCTCACATGCCATAATACGGAATTTTCAAAAATAAGGGCTACCGAGCGGCCGCCATTTCGCTTTGGGCTTTGGGCGCTTCCTGCACGATTTTCAAGGTTACCACCATCCAAATTTTGATTCTAGACATCATAACGAAGAGATTGATACCACTCTCCAACTTTTTTCAGAAAGTTGCACATGGGACTGGATTTTTGTACATTAGAGATTCGACTAATATATTCACATAATCTTTCCTGTGCTGTTGTGAATACTTCCTCATGACCAACTCCTTTGAAGTCTGATAGTGTAGTAAATTATGCTTCAGTTATCTGAGCATTTGTTCACTAAAAAAATCAGTTCAAAGGAATTTTCTTCGACATGGATCTACACTCTACCCTGGAACTGTGTGTGCCGGCACCGACAGACCCTTTGGCAAAAGCCGTTTAATCCTGAAATTGAAAAGTACATACCAATAATGTTCAAACTAGAACGGAAGTAAATTTGCTCCAACATGCACATGACTTGTATTGAATTCTTTGGAACATACGTGGTTTTCTCGTAAAAAATGTTTGTGGTGTGCAATGAATGTAATATCCAGTAAATGAAAATCACAAAAAATGTATTAAGTGTTAATTCAAAGGCACACCAAGGTATTCTCTTATCACTGGATTGACATGGAAACCTGAGGTCTCCATTTCACAGCAGAAATGTCTGGGTACTGATCAAAATATACGTCCAAGAAAATTTGTCTAGATTTTCCTGCAGTACACCCATGGAAACCCTTAAAATCAATTATGCAGGTGGATGCACTAGACTCCAGCCAACAAATTCATGTGATAGCAATATTTTGAAGTGGATGCTTTCAGTTGGTAGATTTTCTCACCTCATTTTACTGTCACCATTATCTTATTTTTGTCTCAGTCTTTAAGCTCAAATGCTTTTTCATAGTGATATTTTACTGGTAAAGAGCCTTATGTATTTCATTTCAATAAATAATTTGCAAGAAAGAGGGAAGAACAACCACAAGGATCGTCCCGAGATGAGTTTACCTGTTCAATATCTCCTAAACTGAGATAGGTAGAGAAAATCTGTAATAAACTTTAAAAAAGCCACCACTCTGGGCACTCAAACGCCCTATAGATTTTTAAATCTGGCTTGATAGAACTCTAGAAAAGTGGGTTTTTCTGAATCCACCTCCTCTCCACACAGGTCCAAGTCCAGTGTACTGAAATGACAAAGTAAACTGGCACAAATTTGGTCAATATTTTCGGATTTCCCAACGTTCCAAGGACATTGCAGGTCGAGATATATGTAAAGCAGGGTCAGATATTTTAGTTGAACGAATAACAGTTCAGAAAATATGCCATAAACTAGAGAAATCTTTGTCAAAAGGTGAAATTGATAACAGCCAGTTGGTTGTTCTGATTAGCCTCGATATTCGAACGCGTAGAGGTCCCGTTGACGGCGCCCGGTCGAATGTGTGGGAAGAAGCCAGGGGGTAATTCCGGCGCCATGTTGGATTGCCGTTAAAGCGCGGGCAAACGCGGCATTTTAAAATTTCGAACTTCAGAAGTCGTTTTCGGAGGGAAAAACGGCTCGGAAAAATCTGAAAAAATACTGCGTGATCAGGAGACAATGTAGTTTCTGAAAATGCATGAATTAGAAACAAGTTAACAAGCTCATTATTTGTGCTGTATTAAATCAACCTACCGTGTTCACTCATCACTACCAGCAAGTTGAGCCAACCTGACTTTGTTGGCTTCATCTGACATGACTAATGTCTTGATTCAACACTCAGTAGTGTTCTGCCGATGGCACCAGCTTAACTTTTGTGTTGAACCAAAAGAAATTTTTGTTGATCTAGAACAGCTCTTTTTTCTGTCTATCCTTATAGTAATGTGTTGAAGATAAGAGGTTGTTTACGCACACCGTACTGAACAGGTTGAATCGTGTCACCTGACGTCACAGCAGTGCCACCGCATACCCTGTGTCGCATGCCTCGTCGCGTTTGATCTTCCAAATGTATGCCTCCGTCGCGAAATTTTCCATCCCATTACTCCTCTCACGTACTTAATGTTAGCCTGCCGGCACCAAAGTATCTCCTCAAAACTATATTCCATTTTTGATGGTGTGTTTCACCTCACTGATCTTGTTCCTTTGATTATCTCTCGTTTTCCTTTGGCCTTCCTTTTTGATTGGTTTTGGTGAAATGTAACAGGTGGTATTTTTCGACAGGAAACTCGGAATTGTTGGAGATATTTCCAAAATTTCAAAATCCAAGATGGCGGCTGTGGCCTAAAATGTTACGTCGGCTCCTGTGCATAGAGTGCGATAGAGTCGCAATGTACTGGAGCGCAAATGAAGTCACTTTTTGAGACTGTTTTGTTCAGGACTTCTGAGACTAGTGTGCGGCGATTAGCGGTACTGAATCCGCGGGGTCCGCTCAGAAAATACAGGTTTAAAATTTATCTCATTAAAATCGGGAGTTCCGTACGTTTTTAATTTGTTATGATATTGGCCAACATAATTTGCCAAAATTCGCGAAAATAGTTATTGATTTAAAATAATAAATCCCAAAAACCACTCATAGTCCGCGATTCTCTCATAAGACGCTGTGTTACCAAATACCACCGAGTTCACACTTGGTTCACACTTTCCGGCAAACAAGGGGCTCAAGATGGCCCGTTCATGCATTGACTTCATTGGCGCTCCAGTACATTGCGACTCTATTGTGCGATCATTTTTGTACACTTTGGTGTTAAAGAAGATGAAGACGAAAATGTTGTTTTCTCATTACAGTGAAAAGCTATGTGGGGCGGCTTGCAGAGCAAGTCGCAAGTTCATTGCAAAGCGAGGAACCGGATGTCGAGGAGCACTCCCCGGCTGGGCGTGACAGCTCACAGGAGTGAAACTTTGTTCCTGCCTATGGTAATGCATTAAAGAAACGAGGTTGTTTACGCGCACAGCACTGAACAGGTTGAATCATGTCGCGTGACGTCACATCAGGGCCACCTTGTGTCTTGTGTTGCGTACCTCGATCGCGTTCGATCTTCGAACTGAGTGCCTCCCTCGCGAACTTTTCGATCTCTATACTCCTTTCACATACTAGCCTGCCTGCACCAAAGACATAAAGACGGAGCGCTAGAAGCAAAAAATAAAGCTTCTTTTCAACAACCTCTACTATTGGCTAGAAGATTGGCAGCAAAATCGGGACAAGTTTGAAATTCAAATGTAGGGCGGGAACTAAATAAAATTGTGGAGACAAAGTTATCGAGGTTGATTTTTGCCCAAATTCACTTACCCACTCATAGTTTTATAATTTTGGGTTAGTTTTGGTCCGTCGTCGACCGATTAATTTTATTTGGGAGTAACGATCATCTGGTACTGTAACAGCCTGTTTGAACCGGCAGGACCACCATGAACAGAAGAAAAACTGACTTTACCTGAGAGTACTGCCTGTTACCGAGAAAAAGTAAGTGTGTTATAAAAAGTCGCAGTCTCAACTTTCTTAATATATTCGTTTTAGGCACTTAAAATATGTTTAGAAGAAATGTGGAAAAATCAAGAAGACAAGTTCAAATCAAATTTCCGTTGGCCGCCATGGATTCCCTTGCTCATTTACACACTCACACAAACACCCAGCGCAAAACTAGGCTTCACTTTTTCCCCGTGCTTTTAGATATGAGCACTCCGTCTTTATGTCTTTCGCCTGCACCTAAGTATCTCCTCAAAACTGTTTTCCATTTTTGAACTTTTATAGGTCATTCGCCTCACTGATGGTATGGTTCTTTGACTTTCTGTCTTTTTTTCTTTCTCCTTTACTTTCGATCAATATTTGTGAAACTCACTCAAACGGGTACTTTTTGACAGGAGACTCGAATTTTCGGTTAGATTTTCAGTAATCCAAAATCCAATATGGCAGCCGTGGCCTGAATGCTGTGTCGGCTCCTGTTCGATCGATTTTTGTGAAACTCGGTATCAGAGGGTATTTTTTGACGGGAAACTGGAATTTTTTGTTAGATTTTCAAAATTCCAAAATCCGAGATGGCAGTCGTGGTCTAAATGCTAAGCCAGATCCTGTTCGACCGATTTTTGTGAAACTCTGTGTGAGGAAGTATTATTTAATGAGAAACTCGTATTTTTTATAATTTTATCAAAATTTCAAAATATACAATCGCGACTGTGGTTTTATATTCTTTCTCGACTCCTGCTTCATTGATTTCCGTGCAATTCGGTGAAGAAGAAGATGAAGACGATAATTCTGTCTACTCTCTCAGTCGATAGGGGTGGCTTGCTGAGCAAATCGCAAATTCATCACGAAACAAGGAACCGGGGGTCCAGGGGCAGATCCCCGACCAGGCCTGACACTTGGCGTAGCTTGCTTATCACAGCTAGTTTCTAAGAAATAGCTAGGAAATCACAAGTGAATAGTAAGTTCACTAATTGCAAACATTGATTTCCTAGGCTGAACTCCAAGCAAGGAAGAAAGTCAGAAACAGCCGCAGTTCAAGAATTAACCCTAATATTTACTATACAAACGCCTGATCAGGTGTTAATCAGTCAATTAATTTTTTTTTAAGCCAATTACTTGCACCGATTGAATCTCAAAGAAAGCAAAATGAAGAGCAAACAAGGGGTCACTGTCATACACAAATTTGTACTACTTTCTCAGCTGTACAATAAACCTGTACTATTTATTGTCTTGGTTCTTGGCGGGTTCATGACCTGTACACACAACTCCTACGAGATACCTTCATTGTATAAATTCGTAAAATAAAAAAACAAAATAAAAGAAAATGGTACAGAGCACATTAACAGTTAAATTCTGATGTGTAAGGCTTACCGTTCCTCTACGGAGAGCAAGTTGGATGGTCTCAATGTCCATTACAGGTACCCAACATTCAGCAATTAAGCACTTTTGTGTGACATCAAGATTGAATAAGTTGAGAGTGTGGTAGATGGCTTTTATTTTCCGAACTTTGATGAACCAATTTTTTACATTTTTTGCAGCAGCTACGAGCACTCGATGCCGATGATCCTGCGTTTGACCTAAAACCTATAATAAAATTATATAAATTCATAAAAGTATTTCTCAATCACTTTAAATGTTCAAGAACATACATGAAGTCAGAGAATTGTTAATTGGTAAAAATGTTTATGCATAGAGACTTACATCAAGAACCAGATTTTTCACAGTGATATAATGTTTCCCATAACCGAGGCAGTTTTGCATTCCTCTGGCGTCTTGGATAAAATTCACCTAAAAATCGGACTGTGACGCCTAAAAATTGGGGGTTGGGTCATCGAAGGACCTAAGAAAGTTGAGACACCCTGTCATTTTTTAAAACATGTAATCGCAAACCAGCAGTAGCACTCTCAGCGCACCGCGAAAAGGCTGCTGAAGCATACCAGAGGCTAGACAGCCATGGGAAAATGTAAAAGGCTCAGGTTTTACACACCTCCATGTTTTTTGTCTCTGTTCAAAGGAATGTAGATAAAGATTGTGAAAATAAATTAGTGGCTTCAATCTCACTGTGTTTAAATCTTCAATGCGGGTCATAACTCCCATTGCCATTTCTCGTCGATCTGCAGGGGCCTCCGGACAGGGATACAAGGTGGCACGAAAACCTTCACATATTTTCTTTACTCTGGTTTTTAGTTGGTCTCCTTGAAAGAAAATGATGAAAACAGATTTAAAGACTCGGTCCCCCTGAAAGCAAAAGAGGACAAGAGGATCAGTTGGCTGACAATGTAAAGACCACTGAAAAAAGAAAAAAAAGAAATATTTTGTCTCATTACATGATTCGGTGCTTGGATGATCATATGGGTATTAGATCTGATAAGAAGACAATAAATAAAATATCATAAATATCAGATCCATGTATTAATAATATAACTGATCTATGACACATAAGCATGGATATATCTGAAAATTAGTCAATTCTATTTCTTTCCCATAAATGAACACAAGTGAAAAAAGTAAGACAGGGTGTCTACTGGTACTCTGTCATTAAAATTCCTTGAGTTGTCGGTACCGTTTCCTTGCGTTATCCTCTCTTCCCTGAAAATTCCTTCTTTTGACTATTCTCCAAAATCCTTTCTTCATTCTTACCTTTTCCTTACTATTTTTTTCCTTCACACGCACTTTTAACTGTAACGGATAAGGAAAGTACACTTAAGGAACAATACTTAAGGAGTAAACCGAAAAAAATGAGGAATCGAACCGGTGTTTTGAAAATTAATTTTGTTAGGAAATTGCATATCCCCATGACTACTTTTCAGAGTTAATCACGAGAATCTCTAATTTCCGGGCCATTCCACGGAAAATCAGTACCTTTTCCGTACTTCCCTACCGACCTTCGAAAATCCATACTTTTTCTAAAAAGTAGACACCCTGTAAGAGTAAAAACCATTTATAACATGTTGGTTACACACAGCAGATACAATCATTTGAGGGGACTTTTCTGAGTGATCATGTTGTAGGAAAAAACTTCGAATTATCAGAAAATCCTCATGTTATGGCCATCATACAGTGCGTGCCTAAAGCCACTTCTACCTTATTTTAAAATTTTCTCATATCATAGGTTCCCTCGTCCCTCCCTGCTCTTGTGCTGAGCAAAAACAATAACTGCAGAACTTACTAATATAGATTTTGAATTACGGAGCAAGCAGTAGGATGGAGCAATAACCAATCACTGGAAGGATGAAATTTCAGTGAAGCTCTTCAATTATACTGACTAGTTGCTAACACTCTGAATACTCTGGTATTTGTACATAAATTAGTTAACTACATCATTACAAATTACCTTCTCTCCTGATTTGTAGCTATAATTTCTGTGTCCAGATTTTTTACCAATGCTTGCAATTTCACAATATCTACTATCCCACAGTTTCTCAGTACAAAAGCAGATCAGTTATGAGGAGGTAACTAGTGGGGAGGATCAAAGCGATATGTTAATCTAGGAATTTTAAGTACATCTATCTAAGTACACTCTTTCATTTTGAGTGAGGGAGGGCCTTGATATAGGGATTTTTCTTGTGTTCATCTTCAAAGTTGTCATGTATTCAAGTTAAATGTGAGATTATTTCTTGCTAGAGCCGTGTTACGTCCTCTACGTTGCGCATGTTACATTTTTTTGACTTTGTATAACATGATAATTGGAGTAACGGAATACGTTCTGATACTGCTGGAGTATCAATAGTGAACATGTTCTATCGTTCACCAAAAAGAACTTCTATCCGGCTCCTGCGTTAAATACCATAAGTTTAGCAGCTTTTCTGTTGCGAACGTTCCATTTTCACATGCCTTGACAAAATAAGGCAAAATATCGCTCATATTTGAACTTTTCTGCTCTTGGAAGGTGGTTCGATATTGTTGAAGAACTGAACTGTAATTTCATTTGGTTGTAAATCTTATAGATGCAATGTGTAGTGAAAAAAAATCATTCCGAATATAACCCTGAAAATCACTGGTCTGAACATTTCTGCAGAAAAACTGAAAAATCTTGCAAATCCAGGAACTTGAGATGAAAAGTGAACTTATCTTATAAAATTGAATATTTTTCCTATCCAGTGCACAAAATTTCATCCTGCACAAGTTAAGTTGATTTTTTAACCTCGAGGGTCCCGTTCAGAGATAATTGCCCTCAGAAAAAAAAAAAAAAAAAAAAAAAAAAAAAAAAAAAAAAAAATTCCAAAACCTTCATAAGTGTTTGCCATTTCAAACCTTTCAATATCTAAAATCATTTGAGGTAAAGATTTTTCCTAGCCTCTCTGCTTCATGCAGATAATCTTGCATATAATCATCACGGATCTGCATAACATGATAACTGGAGTAGCAAAATATGTTCTGAAAGTGCTGGAATATCAGTGAAGAACATGTTCTATTGTCACCAAAAAGAACTTCTAACCATTCCTGCGTTAAATGGCATCAAGTTCAGCAGCTTTTCTGTTGCAGACATTACATTTTCACATACCTTGACAAAATAAGGAGAAGTATTGCTTATATTTGAACTTTTCTGCTCTAGTAACAACTACACAATGTGGGTCCGATTCCTTCCTCCAAAATATTCCTTCTGACTCTGGCTCTAGATAAAGGAGGCCCACTACTCACTCAGTTATTTGAGCACCACTATAATTGATTTAGACATATCGATATTTAGCATTGTGGACATTAAAAAGGAAGGCAAAATATCGGAGTAAAAACAGAGCAATGCTCATAAGAAGAGTCATAACGTCCTGGATTCTAAAGTACACATAAAGATGGGATTAAGGAATATGGGAGATTGTGGAAAAACTTGACCTTAAATGATATCCAAAATTTTGAAGTTTGAAACTGAAAGACAAGTATGATGAAGTATAATTCAGCAATTCTGTAAAGGGAACTCATTTCGTAACAAATCCTTGCACCTTAAGTGCGCAGCCCGGGCGACACAACTTACTTTACAGATAAGCTGGTTTCGTCCAGCAAACTGAAGGGGATTGCAATTATAATTAAGTCTCCATGAATTAGCTGTAGTTTTGAAGCAGAGAGGCTAGGGAAAATCTTGACCTCAAATAATATCAGATATTGGAACGTTTGAAAAGGCAAACACTTATGAAGGTTTTGGAATTTTTTTTTTTTTTTTTTTTTTTTTTTCTGAGGGCAATTATTTCTGAACGGGACCCTCGAGGTTAAAAAATCAACTTAACTTGTGCAGGATGAAATTTTGTGCACTGGATAGGAAAAATATTCAATTTTGTAAGATAAGTTCACTTTTCATCTCAAGTTCCTGGATTTGCAAGATTTTTCAGTTTTTCTGCAGAAATGTTCAGACCAGTGATTTTCAGGGTTATATTCGGAATGATTTTTTTTCACTACACATTGCATCTATAAGATTTACAACCAAATGAAATTACAGTTCAGTTCTTCAACAATATCGAACCACCTTCCAAGAGAAGAAAAGTTCAAATATGAGCGATCTTTTGCCTTATTTTGTCAAGGCATGTGAAAATGGAACGTTCGCAACAGAAAAGCTGCTAAACTTATGCTATTTAACGCAGGAGCCGGATAGAAGTTCTTTTTGGTGAACGATAGAACATGTTCATTATTGATACTCCAGCAGTATCAGAACGTATTCCGTTACTCCACTTATCATGTTATACAAAGTCAAAAAAATGTAACATGCGCAACGTAGAGGACGTAACACGGCTCTAGCAAGAAATAATCTCACATTTAACTTGAATACATGACAACTTTGAAGATGAACACAAGAAAAATCCTTATATCAGGGCCCTCGCTCACTCAAAATGAAAGAGTGTACTTAGATAGATGTACTTAAAATTCCTAGATTAAGGCCCCTAAAGTCAAAATAACCATACTTGAAAAAAAGTGTGTCTGTCCGTCAGGCGTCCCTTAAATCTGTCTATAGCGATATCTCAGAATCTATCTGTTCCATTTCATTCAAAATTTGCAGAGAACACCATATCTATGGTCTCCTTATGCACGACAAACGATTTTGGGGTACGTTAAAATTGGGGGGGGGGACTAGGGTCCGAGGTCCATTTTTAGCAAAATCACACGGAAAGCTCATTTCGAAGGACTGTAAATTTTGAAAAATGCCTTTAATTCTTTAACAGTGGGCATCAAGCATATCGCCTGGGTCATTAATTTAAGTTCCTAAAAGATCTTTGGATTAAACTCAAAATTCAAGGGATACAAGGCACCAAAGTATGGCTTTTTGCTCCGCAACATCACACAAACAGCTCATTTCCAAGGACTGTAAATTTTTAAAAAAAATGCCTTTAATTCTTTGACAGTTGGCATAACAGCACCACCTAGTTCATTGATTTAAGTTCCTAAGAGGTCTTTGGACTAAACTAAAAATTGAAGAGTTATGCGTCATTTGGCGAGGAGAGCACTTCGGTCACACGGAGAGCTCATGGACTGTAGATTTTGAAAAAATGCCTTTAATTCTTTGAAAGTTGGCTCAAAAGCACCACCTGAGTCATTAATTTAAGTTCCTGCAGGATCTTTGGATTAATCTCATAATTGCAGAGGGGCCGATAGGAAACGCTCAATTCTCCGATAAATGAGTCGGAACGATATTAGCAGCTAACGCTTTGAGTCAGGTGAAATCTAGGAATTCAAATGCATTGTAAAATGCATCATATACTATCTTTAAAATTACTCCGTAGGTATACACCAAGCAAAATTAGAGAACTAATTAGGTACTTACATTACATACTATGAATCATCGAAGCTAACGCAAGAACTGACACTTAGATCTTTATTAGAGACGAATATGTTTGTTGTTAATGAATTTAGATTCCCGGCAGATTCCATCTTTCGCGATTCCTTTTTACGAGGTACCGAACACAAATATAATATAATAATACTGCACGAACATGATTGATTTAAAGATTGATGATAAAACGCGATATAACCCGTTCAGGTTTGTTGAAGTTTTTGTTGTTTAAATTCACGGGGATACGAGCAGCAAGGAGGTGGCGCTCTCTATTGTTGTCGTTTCGACTTACGGGGAAACGCGCTAAGGAGGTGGCGTTCTCGGCGGGCGGGTGGTGAACCATTTCCAGCAGGCAGATTCGCCCGCCAAATTTAAAATTTGGGCGATGCTAAGCGATAACCGTTTAGTTTTAAGACTATTTAAACATCGAATAGTCATTCTACTCATTAAAGTAGGTTTTTGATGGCTTTTGACCGTGCTTAAGGAAAGATTATAATATATAATCGTCTCTGAAGTATGATGTAAATGAATCTAATGGATCCTAATGAATCGTAGAAAAGCTAAGATTTTGAAGGATCGCCGTCTTTAATAGGAGGCATCATTAATCAATTATTTAATTGAAGATACCTCATAATATCGACAAGTCGAGTCCGAATATATAAATTCATCACATATAGCGAAGAGATTTACAATAAAGTTCAGTGGTTTGAATAACAATTATAGCACAACTATTATCCTGCGATCAAAATTCCAATCAACTTTATGATTTTGAGAAATTGGCAGTATTTTTCTAAATATTCCAGTAAAAGTGTCTACGCCGGCAAAAGCGAGAATGTGTTGTGCGATCCTCGCACCAAGATGGGGGGGCCAAGCCCCCTCCCACATGCCAGCGCGAAGCGCCGCGCATAAATTGGCCGGAGGCAAATTTTTTTGCCTGCCATTGTTGAAAAGAGAGGCTTTTGGAAAATTCTGTTTACTTCGGTCTGGAAATTCCGGAGTGGCAAGTTTTAAGCAAATCCATCAATGAAAAGCTCAGACACACATTTAAAGTCGGTGTCATTCATTTTTTATGTTGCCATTCAAAAAATTTTGGGCTCATTTAATTTTAAAAATTGATGTTGGATTTGATTTGGTTCTCCTGCCAAGAAACTCCGGGGTAGGTATCAAGTTTCATGAAAATCTATGGGTAAGTAGGGGAGATTTCCTTTTTCACCATGTTTTAAACTTATGACCGCTATTCGTTAGAGAAAATGAAATGGCTACCTGTGACTTACGCTCAAAATTTTTTCCTCCTCTTTCCATTCAGATGTCTCAAATAGGAGAGGTTCCTATTTGTGGAAAAAAAATTAAAGCCCACAGCCTCTCTTGATACAACAAACAAAAAGTGGCTAACATTGACCCATGATCACCCCCAAAGTTTCAAAATAGGAGAAATTTTAGACAGGGTGGGGTCCTTTTTCAATTAAACATACTGTGAAATATATGCAAGTATCATACATTCCATAATGCATTGGGTAATAAACATATGATATGTCTGTACTTCTTCATTTGGAAGATTGTGTAGAACTTACATTGGTAACCAAGGGAGAAAGTGGGAGGAAAAAAAGCGAGTAGAAATGATGGAAATGAAAAGGATCATTAAAATTTCCTAGGAATAGGACTATAGAATGACATATAAAGAATTACATACATTTACAGGGTCTTCCAAATGCGACTCTATTTCTGCTTGCCTTAGAAATACATTGCCACGACAGGCTCGCCATAACATCCTTTCAAAAGCAGGAATACGCTCACGTAAAATAACGCCTGCCACAAACCTGTATTTAGAATTCAAATGACACATAATTAAGAGCTGATATCACTTTGACTTCTTATCTGAAGGAATATCAAAACACAGTATTCTTCAACAAACGAGAGAATGAAGTACCATCCACACTCTGTAAAGCTTAATCGATTTCAGTGGCTTTACAATGAGTAAGTGATCCACCTCACAGATGATTATGAGTAAAAATCCTAGAAGAACCTTGTTTAAATGCAATCCTTTACATCATAAAATACTTATACAAACATACATACGTACACGTTGATCTCTCTTATCTAAGGTGCTGATGACTTGGCTTCCAGCGTTCTACAGTCCAGCCTTGATGATTAACCCGTTGAGACTCGCACTCGAACTGCAAGGGGTGGATTTTATTTTTCAATTGATATTCTTGATGTGTGTATTTTTGAAAATTTTCAGTCCAAGAAATGTTTTAATCCAACCAATAGAAGCCATGATCCTGATGTCCATAATTGTGAACAATATGATCAAATGGGGTCAAGAAAAGCCGTTTCAAAAGAACCCCGCACAGAGCATGGGCTCAGCGGCTCTCGGTGAAAATCGATGAAACTTTAATAGATTGTTATAAAGTTCATAATTAAGGGAAAGCCAAAAAATTAGCTCACTTTTACGAGTAGAAGCTGAGATATTCGCGATTGAACCCGGACTATTTTCTGTGCGGCGGAGGTAAATGGGCGCTCCGCGTCGCCGTCGCCTTACCTTGCTCGAGCACTTCGGCCAGGAAACCCCCTCTCCCCACCAGGTAGCTACGATGTCGCATTGTTTACACTCACAAGGGGTTCTTACGGACCTGCTGCCTCCGATTGGGCTGAATTTTTTTTTACAGACTCTATGGACCAATTCTAGAGGTTAAGTTGAGCCGTTTTCCCGAATGCGCAATTGGAAGGGCGTAAAAAATTCCCAAAAGTTGCGTTTTCGGCGTGTGATTTGGTCGTGCGGCGCTTGGCAACACTGAAGCAGCCTCTTGTACCGCTTTATCGGCCTGAAGATTTCAGCGGAGTCCGGAGCCCTACTGCAGCAAAAGAAAGCCTTATTTGTTACTACATTATCTCCCAATGTTTTCCCGGAAAAATAGGTAATGTGTAAATAAATCGAAGAGCAACCCCAAACCCATGTGCACGCAAGGGTCACCAAGAAACACATTATTTTAGCCCTTTGCTTTTTAATTCATTAATTTATATCAATGAAGTTTCATACAATTATATGTGGCCAATGTGAATAAATATCGGGGGAAAATGTACGTAAAATGAAGGGGGGGGGGATAGTGATCGGAACTGCTTGATTTATAAATGCGTATGAAGAATTAAAAATAAAATGTTACGTGATCATGCGGAAAATAAAAAGTCGAGGATCGAACCCGGGACATCACTATCATGGAACCAGTACGTGTGCAGTAGGGCTCCGGACTCCACTGAAATCTTCAGGCCGATAAAGCGGTACAAGAGGCTGCTTCAGTGTTGCCAAGCGCCGCACGACCAAATCACACGCCGAAAACGCAACTTTTGGGAATTTTTTACGCCCTTCCTATTGCGCATTCGGGAAAACGGCCCAACTTAACCTCTAAAATTGGTCCATAGAGTCTGTAAAAAAAAATTCAGCCCAATCGGAGGCAGCAGGTCCGTAAGAACCCCTTGTGAGTGTAAACAATGCGACATCGTAGCTACCTGGTGGGGAGAGGGGGTTTCCTGGCCGAAGTGCTCGAGCAAGGTAAGGCGACGGCGACGCGGAGCGCCCATTTACCTCCGCCGCACAGAAAATAGTCCGGGTTCAATCGCGAATATCTCAGCTTCTACTCGTAAAAGTGAGCTAATTTTTTGGCTTTCCCTTAATTATGAACTTTATAACAATCTATTAAAGTTTCATCGATTTTCACCGAGAGCCGCTGAGCCCATGCTCTGTGCGGGGTTCTTTTTCTTCAAGGCATACTATTATAAGTTCAAAATGCAAAAAGTATAGAATTACTTGGGTGCAACTCCCCTCCCTCCCCCAAAAAAAACCCTTGGGGGCCTGGAGGGGGGGGGGGGTGATTTTATTAGGTATAAAGGTATGATTGACTTCCGATTTGAATGCTACAGAGAAAAATAAGGACTCCTAGTTCTAAGAAATTTATTCCTGAGCCCTCATTTTTTAATTAAGGGGCATTTTTGGGGAATTTTAAATACAAATCGAAAATGTGAAGTTAGGTTCACGCGGGAAAGTGTTGACGTCATTTGATCATGTTGTCCACAATTATGGACATGAACTTTTCAAAAATTACCGAACATATGGACTTGGAGGGAAATAAATTGGAAGTGGAGAAATCATCGCCTGCAACCTTCCTCTTTGGAATTATGCATAACATAACTTGAGAAAAAATATCTTTGACTGATAACAGTCGTGTTAAGTTACCAACCTTCAATGGCTGATTTCAGCAACTGTTAACCGCCAATTGCTGACTTTGATAAAAAGTTTTAAGCACTACCGAGAGAGTGCAGCACCAGTTAAGGATAACAAGAAGGGGAATCATTATAAATATATCATGGCTTGTGCAGCCTCAAGATTAAAAAGTCAAGCACTTTTGTAAGTATTTTCATGCACTTCTTAAGCACTTTTGTAAGAATTTTCATGCACTTCTTAAGCACTTTTTCATAATTTTTTCTAAGTGCACAGTTCTCTCCCCGTATCGTAGAAATTTGATTCATCCACAAATACAGTTGTTTTTACATAGGCTGCCCCAAAACAACTGGCACTAAGGCTGTCATTCGGGAACTACAATAGATATCGACATGCGGTTTGCGGGAGGTGATAGCTCATACTCCTAGCTCTTAAACGAGCCTAAGTTGAGCTAGTTTGATTAAAAACTCAACGAGTTACATCAATTTTCCCGAGACGGGTAAGAAATACCCCCACGGGATTTTTCGGTAACTTTTCATTCCGTTAACTTTGCCCCCGCAAGCTGTGCAATTGGTTCAGACGTTATGAATCCAGTTTCCACTTATCTGGATGAAAGTTTGAACTTGCCAGCAAGTGTTTCAATCACAGTCGAGAAGTTTTCTTTCTGTTTGCAAAGTCACTTTGGTGAAATCGTCCGGCCTAAAAACGACGCGTGATTTTGTGTTTCGTCATGAGTTCACCCGCGGACCGCGAAGTTGAAGCAGGAGCAACGATACGCAATTCGATATTGCATTCGTCGTGAATCATCTACTTCTGAAACACGTCTGAGCCACTGTCATTTCATTCACAGTTTCAGAAGTAGATGATTCACGACGAACGCAATATCGAATTGCGTATCGTTGCTCCTGCTTCAACTCCGCGGTCCGCGGGTGAACTCATGACGAAACACAAAATTACGGGTCGTTTTTAGGCCGGATGTTTTCACCAAACTGACTTTGCAAACAGAAAAAAACTTCTCGACTGTGATTGAAACAGTTGCTGGCAAGTTCAAACTTTCATCCAGACAATTGGAAACTTGATTCATAACGTCTGAACCAATTGCACAGCTTGCGGGGGCAAAGTTAACGGAATGAAAAATTACCGAAAAATCCCGTAGGGGTATTTCTTACACGTCTCGGGAAAATTGATGTAACTCGTTGAGTTTTTAATCAAACTAGCTCAACTTAGGCTCGTTTAAGAGCTAGGAGTATGAGCTATCACCTCCCGCAAACCGCATGTCGATATCTATTGTAGTTCCCGAATGACTGCCTTAGTGCCAGTTGTTTTGGGATAGCCTATGTATAACACTTATATGTTGTTTGAGTGGTTTAGTTTAATGTGTTTGTTACGTTAGTTGCGTTCGATTGGTTGATGCGTTTGTCAAGTTGGTTGTGTTGGATGTATTTGTTGAGCTGGGTACGCACTAGAGCGTTTTTGACGAACGAACCGAATGAGCAGCCACGAAAGACTGCTCGAGTTGTGCGGCAAGTGCGGACGGGTCTACGAACGGCTCGAGCGTTTCTCCCGCACAAGCGGAACGAGCCGAATAGCATCGAAAGCTTTTGATGTTATTCGGATCGTTCCCGCATTTTCCAGCCACGAACCGCTGATTTTTACCGCCCAAAGTGCATCAGTTGACCGCTTGTTTAAGATGGAGAGGCATCAAGTGGCAGCCGGTGCTTTTTTAATTATATTCAAGTTGTTAAAAAAGAAGAAAAAATCTCTCCCGCGCTTTTGGATGAGAAAGTTATGTAGAGTGCGTGAAAATAATTCGCTCGTGAGGGATATTGACTTCTTCCACTTTCAAAATTTAGTGCGCATGAGTTCAGTTGATTTTGAGAAACTGCTCACTATAATTGGGCCGAAAATTACGAAGCAGGTGACCAACTTCCGTGAACCAATCCAGGTATCCAACCGACTAGCAGTCACACTGAGATTCCTAGCAACAGGGAACGCATACACAAGTTTGCAGTACTTGACAAAAATCTCAAAGCAAAAAATCAGCGAAATAGTCATCCAAAAGGACGATCATCTTCGCGCTCGCGGCGTTCCCGCGAAAAAAGATCGGATCTGAACATGTCGAATATGTGCTCAAACTGCTCGCACCGTTCGGCTCGTTCTGTTCGTTCGTCAAAAACGCTCTAGTGCGTACCCAGCTTTGTGTTTCGTATGTTTCATGTGTTCAGTGTGTTTGAAGTGTTCATTAAGTTGGCTGTGCTCGATTTGTCTCGTGTTTCTAATGTGTTCGGTGTGTTTGCTCTGTTGTTCATATTTGATTTGTTGATGCGTTTGTTACGTTGGTTTTTTTTTATGCGTTTGCTGTTGTTGATTTGTTTGTATGTTTGATGTATTTTGTGTTTTGATGTGTTTGTTGCGTTTAGAGCCTTGCGTTTAATGCTTTCTATGAATGATGTGGAGGGTCTGGTTTTTGGAAGAATTTGTTAATTTGATGACAGTTTTCACAAAATGGGACTCATACTGTTCATCATATTTTCTCGGGAATTTTTTTACTGATCTTGTCCCATCCTGCAAGTGACATATGCTATTCTAATTTTTGCCCTGTCG